TCGGAAGACTCGACATATTAAAAAGAAAAAAGATGAAAGGGACAGTCGGATTACCAGTAGGAAGCCTTGAAACGCCGGTTTGCGAGGAACTTCGAGGATGTTCAAAAACTGTCTTGCCGGTTGTTCGAAGGTGCGTTTGAGAAATTGCAGAAGGTAAAACTTCTGGAGGAAGACGACGGTGAATATATATATATAATGCTCGATCCAATCAGGGAAGACCACGTGGCACCGTTTGAAATTCAAAAAATTAAATAATCAACTGCCCAGATTGAACGGTCGCGATTAAAACCATCCGACGGTTCACGAACGGGCGCGTGGAGGCCACGCGGCAGGAGTAACCGCCCTTTCCCACTGAAGTAACGCGACGCGCCACGCGGGCCAATCAGACGAGGACACGTGTAAAGGACCCTGAAACGGCACGACTTTTCATGGCCGACAAGAAGGGCAACGGCCACATCGCATTGATGGACGAGTCGCTTCAGCTCGCGTCATCAATGTACCAGGAACAGGGAAAATGTGACTAAAGGGAATCAGAAACGCCGGGGTGAAAATCGGCAAACTCGGGACTGAACATTAAAGTGACGGCCTCGGACAAGATGGAAGAAACCTCTTCTCTAAGCCCGGGGGCCTGTATGTTGATAGCCGAGTTGGCCCAGATAGAACCGGGTACTCAACCTCTCCGGATCGAGCCGAAAACCCGGTCTGGTGAGAAAGTGCCGAGCTGAACCAAGGATTAAAAATGTGCGGAGCCGCCATAGGAACGTTCTCCCAGACCGGCACCTAGGTCGGTCAGGACGAGGGCCGGCCTGGATGGGAGCCGGACAGAAAGAAGATCATTCGTGGTCTCATGAACACTTTCAACTGAGGTGCCGGTCTGAAAATCTGAGAGGGCCGACCAGAGTGAAGGTGCAGGCTTCGATTAGCATTAAAATATTCCCACTTGGGAGGCCATCATTGGACGATGGGACAAGTAATCATGGCCTAACACCATCCCAGTAAGCCTAAATCAATAAAGCCTACCAGCATTAAATGCCCCCCATGCTGGTATTTAATGCCTGACAGGCAATGATTGAAGAAACCTCAAATCGCATTAATGAATGTCAGACGGACGCCGGACTGCTTTTCAAAATCACTGTGCGACAAGACCGGTGAACAGTAGCTGAATAGTGCCACATTAAAGACTACTATAAATAGCAGCTCATTTCATTTATTTTGGGTTGTTGAAATTCAACTAACTCTGCCTTCTCTCTACTTTCTCTCTCTAAAACTGTAAGAGACCCATTGTAAGGATTGTAAGTATATCGCAAGCGCCGACCTCGTACGAGAGGCCGACCTCGTGATCGCTCAATAAAATCATAATTAAACCGAGTCACCCTTTTGTTTTCAATCTTTCATTTTCGACATTTAACATCTCAACCGTTGATCAAAAACGCTCGTCAACATGAAGAAATTGCAATCAATCTCAAATGAGTCCGTCGTGCATCATTTTGACAATTCATAAGGCAATTCAATCACAAATGATTTGTCCGTCTTTTTTGCCATTGATATTTCTTCGAAAAAAGAGCAT